TGGCAGGTCTGGATGCTTGAGTGATGCCTTAAGAACCGGGTCTTCTGTATTTATAAGGCAGATTACTGAACACACACACACACACACACTTGAAATTGTTTGAGGACAGGCAGAAAAATGGAGATAAGGAAAAAGTAAGGTAGGAGTCTTTTCGTGCCTTAAACCACAATGCATCAAATGCTAAAAAGTTCACCTGATAGAGAGACCGGCTGAGCGGAAATTACCTACCTCATGACCTGTGGAATCAGTGATTTTAAAAGACCAAGTAACACACAAAAGGAGCTATTGTGAAGGACGGTAACTTTGTGAAGATTTATGTTTTGACTGGAAATAATTATATCTGGTATACTGAGAGAAACTCAGTTCCTCATGCAAAATTAAATGTAAGTTTATTTGTACAAATTTTCAAAACACTATCATTTTCCTAGAAGACACTTAACCAAGAAGGAAAATTCATTTAAAGCCAATAATAAGAGTTGACAAGAGAATGTGTTAACAGAATCCTTAAACACATCTGCTTTCTGATCTTTAGGCACAGAGAATGAAAAGACCCTGCCCCCAAACATATTAATGCAATGGCTTTTTATGTAATAGGTAAACATGATGGTATTATTTGAGCCACCATCTTTGAAACTTTGACTAAACATTTTTAAAAAATAAGTTGACAGGCTCAGCATTGACAGAATCTGCTAAAATATTTTGATAAGATTTTCTTACTAAAAATGTCAGAATAAGCCAGCTACACATTACTGAATTAGCTAAAATATATTGTAGAATTTGGGGTTTTAATTTTAAATACAGCTTTAGGAAAAATTTGGGAGAAATATGTAATTACAGTAATATATGTTCACTTAAAGTATGTAGCGCTTATATAGACCACACAATCACAAACATCAATTTAGAATGAATATAAAGTTGTAATTTGTAACTTTATTTAGTAACTTTCCTCTCATTTAAAATCATCTATAGTTAACAAAAAAGTAGCTTTGCAATATATCCTAGATATCTGCATTAGTATGCCTAAATTTACTTTCCATTTAACACTTTTTAATAAAAATCAATTTGAAACTGTTTCTGTATTCACACTGAATGGAAAACAACTTTTAGGAGGTATTTACTCCAACTATAACTCCCATTCCTGGACCCATAAGTCTCCTCTCTCCCCCAACCCAGTCCCTATTTTGGAAGGTTCTCAAGTTAGCATTTTTCGTTTCTCTAAAAATAGAAAACTTGAATAATGATGGTCAATTAGATTTGATTGTCTTCTGAAACAGTGAGGAATTGTTTCCAATTGAAGATTCCATTTCCATGAACTGTAACAATTCCGTATACTTGTTCAATTCTATCTAAAGAACTTCTTTTTCTGCTTAAATCATTTTAGTTTACTAAAATCCCTGAATGTACCTCCCTGAAATCTTAAATCAAGTGGATTAATTTAGAAGAGTAAATCTAGTGGGCAAAGTAATCTGGATAAAAACAGCTTTCTGATGCTTAATTTAGGAAACTGTTGAAATTTCTGGCTCTTAGAAAGTCATTAGAAGAGGAGGAATAATAGTCATAACCTTGCACAGGCCAAAGCCACTTGGAGGCCATCTGTCAAGCATCAACCTTCCTATCTGAGCACAGGAATGGTGGGGGCAGTCTTATATGAAAATTAATGCCATTCTTCCCCAAGAGGGAATAGGCTTGACCACCAGAAAGTTCTTCCCATTTAGCCAACATATGTCAACATATTTCCAAACAGCTGCTACAATTTCAAGTCATGAGCCCTCCTTCTGATAAGGGCGTAAGGTATAAGAGACCAAATAAGTTACCTTCCAACTGGAAGATAAAAGCTCCCCCAGATGTCTACTGCTAGCAACTCCCTGATGGGGGAGCCCTGGTCTGGCCTGAGCCAGGAGGAAGGTCACTGAGAACACATTTGTAGGAGACTTAGCTGAACACACCAGACTAAGTACAGTAAGTACCAACAGTATAGTCACCCGAAAGGTCCCTCATTTCTTTTTCCACAGCCTCTTTCCACTTCTCAACCACCTGGATTAACATTCTCACCCCAATTCCTGCTTTTCCAAGCCCCTTAAAAAGTATTGTGTAGCTGAAATGACAGTGAGGCCTGGGGTCAGAAGCTGGTTAAGTCAGAAACAAGGCAGTGTCCAATTGCAAAGGCCAAGTCAGCTTATTTCTTCTTCCTCTCTTTGCATGCCACTGCTTCTACCACCAGCTTTTCAGGAGAAAAGGAGTACCAGGACTAACTCAATCTACCTGGGTCCACCCTCAGAAAGATGGAAGGACTTGGAAAAGTCTTCTCCCTTTCTCTTCTCTGCTTCTGTACAGAATGACCAGGCTCATTAATTTGCATGCACAGAGATGGAAAAATATAGTAATGACATTAATTGGCAACAGAAGTAGTTAGCAAAAAAATCCAGTGACTTCAGTACCTTTGACTATAAAAAGTAAAAAAAAAAAAAAAAAAAAAATCAAGAACCAAGTGGAGGGTTGGGAGAGAATTTTTGATCTCCTGTTTCTTGGAAGATACTGGTTTATAAATGTGAGGACTTTTGGAGTCAAAGTACTCCAACCTTAATCCCAAGTATGTCACACTAAGATGTAGGAGGCAGAAGTGAAGGTAGAAAAACAAAGATTCCCTTTGTGGGCCCTAGCCCAGAAGCCCACTGAGCACCAGAGCCTCTGGCACCTCACTCTCCCTGGGCATCATCCCTTCCCTCACCCACCTCTTCCCTGCCAAGTGTATATAGTGTCTTTCAATTTTGCTGTAATCAACTGTACAGTTTGCCTCTTGTTCCCCACCAGGTGGTTGGTGACTTAATGTCCCCAGAGATGAATCTACCTATCCTCTATGTGTCAGTCTTTCTCTGACGGAAAGCTGGCCTTCTCCTGCTGGCTTCTTCCTCTTCAGCCTGTGTGTTTTTCTCTTCACACCCCTGACCTACCTTCTTGACAGTGTCATTCCTTCCCATGCCCTCCCTTTGGAACTGGCAAGCTTATCTCTCCATCTTGCAGGACTGAAGTTACTCTCCACCGTCTGCCTCTGTCCTGCTTGCCTATCTGACTTCCCCCATATGGGTCTCCTACTCCATGCTGGTGCTGGTCTCTTCCCCGCAGGTGTACCTGTCTAGGAGCAGCTACTGACATACGCAGTTTTGTATTTTATCTTCTTGCATTCTTATTACTGGGTGCACACTGACTTTCCAGCCACAAATGAGACTCTTCTTTTTCCCTAGGATTTCACAGTTGTGTAGGAAGGCACCCCCCCCGACCCCCCCATGTACATACACTCCTCCCTCCCCTCCTAAATCTGTGTGTTTTCCACCATACACTTCTCTGATGGATAACACATGTGCCCTGAAGTGTACATCTACACAGCCACTCGATTCTGTGAGTGCCCTTCCGAGCAAGCTGACCTCTGTGAGTCTCTCCTGCTATTTACACCTATACTGAATTCATGTACTTCCCAAGCAGTGCACAACTGTGTGCCTCCCTCTGTGTGCACCTTTATGTAGGGGGCTTCTCTGAAGATGAGTCTCCCCTCACGCAGCTTCATAAGCTCCCACTGAACCAGGTTTCACACCTCTCTCACAGCTCTGCTTCCAAATCCGACTTCCTTCTATGCATTTAAAGTACCTGGCACTAGTGGGAGCTCAACAGATGTTAATTCTGTTCTCCACTTTTATCTGAATAACTATGTGAGTCTGCGTCTGGGTGTCCCTCTGGCCCTCTGTGCCTGTTTCAGTTAATTGAAGCATGTTTCATTGGTATGGACTGGACTGGGCTGTTTGTCAGTACGCCCTGTGGGTTTTCTTTCTTTCCTACTGTCCCTCCTCTCAGAGTAAATGTTACTTGTCTCTCATATGGTATATCCCTCTCTTTATACATCCATACACTGCATGTTGGTAAACAGCTTTCCCATGCACCCTGGGTTATGGCGTGTTTTCTCTGTCTCCCCACCCTCCGCTTTTTTATTTTTATTTTATTCCCCCAACGAGAAAATGGGTTTCTGGGTTTGTACTCCAACTGCGGCATGTGTGCGTCTATATGACTCTTAGCTGTACTTGAGTTGTGTGTGTGTATACACGGGTGTCTCTTCGGAACGGGGTGCTGGGTGCGGGACGGGGGTCTCTGCCCTGGACGCGTGTATCTTCCCCCATCCTCACCCTGGATCCACGTCCCTATCGCCGGGAGTTAGCCCGAGACACAGCGCGTCTTTTGGATACAAGGGAGCCTTTGCGAACCTTTCTCCTGCTCCCGGGTGAGCGCTGGGTGTGTGCACGGTGCACGGTGTTGGTCCCTCTCCGGGAAGGCGAAGCGCCAGTGTCCCCGAATTTCTGGGAATGCAAGGTGTCCCCCTACTTTACGTACGCGGAGCGTCGTGTCCCAGCCTTTGCGAGTACATGGTGTGCCCCCCAAGCGGTGTACCTGTGTCCCCAAGTCCCTGCGAGTACAAGGTGTGTCCCACCTCTACACGCGGAGCTGCTGTGTCCGAGTCTCTGCGGATCCGCGGTGCCTATGTGTTACCTCCCAAACGAGGACGGCTCATGCCCTCGGTACTCCGAGTTCGTTACTGGTACGCTGCACCCGCTCCCCCTCCGCCGTCACGGACAGCGTAGTCATCTCAATTTTCTCTCTAGTGCTCCCTTCCCTCCCTGGGACAGAAAACGCCAGGAAACCCGCGGGCGCCGTCGGAAAGTCCCACAGCGGCGGCGCAGCCCACCCAAGGCTGCGGCTGCCTCGGCCCTGCCACCAGGGGCCGCCCGCCTGCCCGCCTCCCAACGCCCCGGCGCCCGGCCGACCCGGGACGGCAGCGTCAGCGACCCTGCCCGGCCCTGCCCAGCCTAGCTGCCGCGGGCGCTGACGGCAGCTGAGGCGAGCCACTGCTCCGCGGCCCCGCGCCGGTTGTCCGGAGCCCCGGGTGGAGCCACCAGGAGGCGACGAGCGCCCTCTCCCTCCCGCAGCCCTTCCGGTTGGCCGGCTGGCCCGCTCACCTTGTGGCTCTGGTAGGTCTCGAGCGCCCGGATCGCCGTCTCGGTGAGCTTCACATGCAGTACGGTGATGTTGTCTTGTCCCAGACGCCCGCACGACAGCCCGTAGCGCTGCTCCTCCCGCAGGCCCGCCGCCCCCCCTGCCGCCATCTTAAACTCCCCGGGGTGCCGACGCCGACGCCGCTCGGGCTCTAGCCTCCACTGCGGCCGCGGCTGCTTGGGCTTCTGCAGCCGCCGCCACAGCTACGGCCATCCCGCTGCTGACGTACTGTCATATACTGCGCGCAGCCAGACCTCGGGCTGCCACCGCCGCCACCCGCCCCACCCTCTGGCCCCGCGCCCCGCCCCGGACTCGTCTCATTGGCCTCGTTCCCCTCGGGACGGCCTTCATTGGCCGCCCTACACTCTCACGGGGGCGGGGCCCAAAGTCGCTGGAGTTTTGCTCCCGGGACGGGACGTCCGAGGTGAGAGGCTGACGTAGAGGTGACGCGACAATTTAATCACATCTTACGTCACGTTTGGTCGTCTTGGCTCGGCGGCCGCGATTGGTCAGGCTGGCTTGGGGGATCCCTTGCTAATTGGGTGTCCAGGTTGCCTGGCCGGGTTACCTAGAGTCGGAGCCCCGCCCCTTGGGGGATAGCAGTGCAGAGACGGGAGAGTAGGGGAATCTCTTCCTGCCCCGGTGGTCCTTGAAGAGGAGGACCCCCCACCCCCGAAGTGTGACCAAGTAAGGATTTCGTCCCCCGACGGTTGCGGAAGCTTGTGGGACTTGGGTGTGCGTGTGAGGGAGGGCGAAGTAGGTGGAGTCACTGGAGAGCATCCTCTCAAAACTCAGTTTAGCGCTGGTGAACAGGTGAAATTGGGGAAAACGCCCTTCTTCGTCATTTCACCCTAACCTTGAAATTAGTGAGTCGACCCTAGGCTTTAGGAGTTGTGCTGGAATATGTGGAGAACCTTAGGTACAACACCATACCTAAAGCTTACGTGCTTTTGCTTGGTGGGCACAGTACTTTAGAAAATTGAGCTTCTAGGTCTTTCCCTCTTTATGCCCGGTTCTGATCCTAGGGGAACACATCCCGTCTCTCTGGAGCTCACCACTGGGAAAGGGTTGTGCCTTTTACGGAATTTGGAGTATCTCCTTTCAAAGGACCATTTAAGAGTAGAAGTGGAATTGACCTAAATTAAACATCCACACCTGTCATTCTTCGGTTCTGTTTGAGCTCTGCTCATTTTATTTGACATGGATGTGGGAAAACCTAGCTAGGGCTTAAGCTATTGGAGGCTAAGTAGAGGAGATGAGGGTGTGAGGGTGTGCGGAGGCCGTGCATACTTTCCATTCCTCGCAAGGCTCCGGGTGTAGGCGTGGCTAAAGTAGGGAGCCTAATCAAGAGCCCTCTTCAGGCTGTGTTTGGGTAGACTGACAGGCTTCCTGTCAGAGAGGATGAATTAACAGGGTGATCCAAAACACCAGATAAAAACAAACCATTGAAAGGATTGAAACCGTTAAAAGGCAGTGTAAAAAATCTACTTAAAAAAATTGAGACGCTTGTTATTTCCCTCAGATTGAAAACCTTGTTGCGTTTTATAGGAGGGATTCCCTGGAGAAATTGAAAGGCATTTAAACAGTATTTCCCATCCTTTCAAATTGGATAGGGCTGTGATTTTCCCGAAAGATCCAAGTGGGAGTTTTTCATGATTCATCCCACCCCATCACCCGAATTAATCCCTTCCCCAGCCTACAGGGTACACTGCCTCTTGATTCAGACCCGCAAGCGCTGGAAGTATCTAATATGAATTATAGAGCTACTTCTCTTTCCATAGAGTATGGGTTAAGTGAAAACATCTGTATTAACTGTTGGTTACATCACAGGAGAGCATTTTTAAAATTGACTTAATTTTAATCCACTAGAATTTGCTAGTTGTTAAGACATGATCAACACTTGTTAATTCAGTTTACTAAAGTGTAAATTATCTTGAATTCTTTGAATAGAGAAATTAAGGTAATCACAAAAAATAATTTTGTACGTGAATTATTCTTTTCTCATGTTGCTTTAATAGAGAAGGACTGACCACATATCTAAAACCTTAATTGTTTGCGGGGAGGGGGAGTCTGACCCAAACAAGTAGAACCTGTATCTCACTACTTTTCTTGTGAAAGTGGGTAAATTCCCACCCACATGTCATGTTGCTCTCCTGTTACTCAGAACTTCTGATGACACGGGGTGAGAGAGGTTCAAGGGGTGAGAGAGGATCAAGGGTGGTTTTCACTGTACTTTTCATATGTCTGACCTGCAGCAACTTAGTAGTAATTGATTTTCTTTTCTCAATTGTGGTAGGAAAATTTTTCTCATGTCCTATTTTAATGGGTAACATCATCTTTCACTGGGCAATATCTTATAGTGACTTATTGTTTGTTTATATTTTTCCCGTTTTGAGCTTTTCAACTAAGAAAGGAAGCAATAATCATGTACAAAGTAATATAGTAATTTAGTACTGTGTCTCTTCATTGCATAGTACACATTATGCCTACCTGAATTAGATGGGCAAGTTGTGATGCTGATAGGGGTAATTTGTTTGGAGGGATCTGATGAAAGTTGCTCTTTGGGAAGTTTATAGATATTTTCTGTATCGTTCAGAGTAAATAACAAATAATTATTGAATGCCAGTCAAGTGTAAAATGCTGTGGAGGATTTAAAAATTAAACTGTATAGTTTCTTATTTAAAGGAATTTTCTGTTTAAATATGGCAAATGAACCGATGCACTCCAAGCAAAGCAATTAGAGAATTAGAAAATGCTAGTTTGGGTGGTGGTGGTGATTAGCTCAAAAATTTAAAGAAAGGAGGTCTGGAGAGATTTTGAAGAGGTGGTGGAACTTGAACATCTCTGGAGGGCTGAGTAGATTCTAGATAAGTAGAGATGGTATAGATGGGGAGAGGCCAACTGAAAATGATCTTAATGATCATTCTAGCTGAACCTCTTCATTTTATGAGTGAATAAACTGAGACATTGTTCATTCAAAAGCAACCTGCCTAACCTATTACAACCAGGAGCGGTAGGTCTCAATCAGCTCTTCTAGTCACTATATACATTAAATAGCTCTTTGGAATTAATAACTGAGAAGAAATATGTCTTACATGATAATTCAGTGCAAGGAAAAGGCAAAATAGAAGTGAACTGATATAGGGCCTGCTCCATTTGTGATATCTACTGTACAAAATGGGCAAAGGACTGTGAACATCAAAGTCTTTGCTGGTTTTCAAAGGCGGAGCCACCCCTCGTTCCTGGTTGCCATGTATTTAATGACTACTTTTCACTTCTCCTTTGAAGCTGAGCTCTCTAGTTCAGATGCCTTTAGGGGCTATTAGGTACCCAAAATAAATGGAGTGGGCTACAGGGACTGAAGGTGCTAGACTGCGGTAAGCTGGAGGTGTCTTTAAAGTGTTTAGCAGTTTCTGGTCCATCTGACTGTTGCAAGGTGAACATGCAGGGGCCCAATGTTGTCCAGTCTTCTAATTTTTAAAGAAAGCTGGAAAGCACAGATTTTTATGTGAGCTTTCTGATTTTCATTTTTTGGCACCTACCTGAAATTTGCCATAAACATTTTGTGGACATTAAAAAAATTCTTTGGGCCTGAGTTAACCCACAGATTTCTAGTTTTTAGCCTCTGCTTTAGTGACTTCCAGTGCACGAAGCCATTCTGTCTTATACCTGTCTTAGTAGTTTTGTGAGTTTTTATTAAAGCTACCTATAAAAAATTTGTACTAATGTCTTAATGCATTGGCTTCTGTTAGGAAAAGAGAACACAGAACCTTACAAAGTTACAGCAGAGGAGCTCTCTGGAAATTTTTTTTCCATATGGAAATTCTTTCTTCTTGGAATTCTCTCCCTGATGCCTCCTGTCCCCACTGGGTTTGACCTTGTACCATTATACTTCTAGTTCTGTACAAAAAAAATCTTCTCCTCTCCTTAGACACAAGTGAAGTGGGAGCTTAATGGTTTTAAAAGAAATTCACTAAGTATTTATAGAGAATAAAAGTGAAATACCTACAAGAAGGACATAAATAGTTGTTGCCTAAACACAGATTTTAAGCTAAACAATTATTGTATCACATGTGATTATTTTTTACTCCACTCCATTTAAGTGTAAGAAATATCTCATTGTGTGACTTATCATGATAATCATCATTATTGCTAAATCTGGCTCTGAGCTCCCCATATCACTGGGTGGTAGAACAATAAATCCACAGGTGTTACAAAGGTCCCAGAATATATGGTGAAGACGGTCTGTTCTATGTCCATCACTGCTGGATAATCCATTGGAAGCTCAAGAATTTCCCTTTAGAAACAGTTTGTGATTGGGTGTAATCTAGATGGAAGGAACCAGATGACCTGATTTGAAACTGGGCTTATGTAAAAAACATACTGGTTTTATTTAGATTGTGTGTTTGTTTGGCAGTGTGGTTGACAGTGGCACCGATGGGGATTATGAGAAGGGAGGTTGAAACTCCCTAAGTACTGCTTGGCACAAAACATATATGGTGATAGTCCACATAATTTCCTGGAAGGTATAGCACGTCTGGGAACTCTGCTGAGACTGGCAGCTTTGGGTACCAAGTATAGCCTCCCTCTCCAGGTGTGTACTTTCTAGGGGAGCTGTAAGGACAGTGGGCTTAATTTGCACTCTTCCTGGAATTGGCAGCCTCTGCCCTTCCTAATCCTGGGGGAAACCATGCCGGCTCTAGACTTCTACCTCTACACCCTCTTAGTCTCTGAAGTCTTTTCTTCCTCTGAGGACAGTCTGGTTCTTTTAAAAAAATTGTGATGTGGGAGTAAGGAAAGTATCCCCCACCCACACTTTTATCCTCCCCTCCAGTTCACATACCTTCTTTACTCTTGGTGTGGAGCTGAGTAGAAAAGGCTAGGTGGGCAGAGTTTTCACTCATTCTTTCAGATGTATCAAAAACACAACTCTGGCTTCCGAAGATGGCAATATTCAGTATTCACTAATACCTCTTTGGCCTTCTTTCCCTCTTTGTTGCTTGCCTTTCCCTACTTGAAGAGCAATCTCGAGAAAGTTGTATATTCTTTAGAAGGGAAAGACTCAAGTTTGAATTCTTTTTTTTTTTTTTAAAGATTTTATTTATTTATTTGAGACAGAGAGAATGAGAGAGAGCACATGAGAGGGGGGAGGGTCAGAGGGAGAAGCAGACTCCCTGCCGAGCAGGGAGCCCGATGCGGGACTCGATCCAGGGACTCCAGGATCATGACCTGAGCCGAAGGCAGTCGCTTAACCAACTGAGCCAGTTAGCTCAGGCGCCACTCAGGTTTGAATTCTGTACACCAAGAAAGTTCTCTCCTTCCAAACTGATTGAGAAACATGTCCTGTCCATAGAATTGCATACTATAGTGACCAAAGTGTCCCTTTCTTGCACATAATAATTATTTTTATAGCTTTTCAGTGTAATGCAAGGTGCCCTGAAAGGCGTCAAATAAGATCTGAGAGGGGGAAGGGTACTAATGGTGACCTCTGTGTTGTTTTGTACTAAAAAAGAACACATGTATATCTGAATAAACTGAGGAGGAGGGAAGACCAGAGGAGACAAAACACCTCTTCAGCTTTCCACTTTTAAACATGCTAATAGTGAGCCAAATTCCATCAACATTAAGAATGATATTGATAATAATAGCTTATTCTTTTTTTAAAGATTTTATTTTTAAGTAATCTC